GAGCCAAGAAAATAGTAGCGGATGGCTGAATTAACTAGAGAGAAAAAGCCCAGGATATATAAAACATGGACACTGAAAAATAAAATAAGGGAGGGGGGATGGTACAGCAAGTAAAACATGGCAAAATTTACATATGGATGAAAAGTAAAATTGGAAATAAAAAATAAATCATGCCAAAAAGCAGTTCAAGGCAGAACCACACTGAAACAAACATTTGCTTATGGTCTTCATGTACTATAGATAATATATCAGAATTTCTTTTTTTTTTTTAATCAACCATTAGACTTTTTTTTTTTTGCACTCCTAAAATTCTACTTTGTCTTGTATACAGATTCCAATAAGAACACTGCACAATTAGCACAAGGGGTCCACGGAAAATTGTCCTTGCTTGCCAGCGATCCTGCCCACAACACAAAAAAAGAGAAAAAAAAAAGGAAAAAAAATAAGGAAAGGGTCTGCCGCATGGTACTGTGCCAGTTCCATCTGCTTTTGCCAGCTTGAAAAGTAGGAAACCAAAATTCCCTTCCAGGAGCGTGTCTCTCTTTCCTTGACGAACTGTCCCTTGTGTTGTACAAAAAAACTCAGTCTCTCTCTTTTATTTATTTTTTTTGTTAAACACAAGCATCCTTCTTCCTGTTCACATGCCACTTCCATTCTGTCTCCATCGTTGCGAGTTGGTTGTTTTTGGGTGTTTTTTTTTTTGGGTGTTTTTTTTTTTTTTAAACCCTTCCCCCCCCCAACATCCACTAAGACCTGCCTCCAAGTTCTTGCATAGTTGAAGTATATATGCCGTACTTAGCTTTCTGAGTGTGAATTTCTGACTGTGACAAGAGTATGAGTTGTAACCATGTTAACAAATAACCAGAGTGGTTCTAGAAACCATTTTTATAAAGTCTACCTATGTTAAGAATTTAATATTGGTGTACATTTATATTAACAGAATATTTACAGTTTGTTTTCTTTGTTTTTTTTTTGTTTAAAACAAGAAGTCAAAAAAAATTCCTCTTAAATTTCTGCATAATATAATAAGGCAAAAAACAAACAGTTTTGTACATTATTATTATTATTAATATTTTAATATATATCTGTAACTTCGGTTCCAAAGTACCAAGGTAAGTGATCAATTGGCCTCAGAAGGGAACCTCACAGTGGACTGTAAAACTACAGTATTTCCATAAATAATACTTTTAAGAAACCCTGGGTATTTTTTCTTAAGGATCTGAGGCCTTTTAAATGCAAATTTAACTAAAAACAAAAGCAAAATTTCTTCTTTTTTAAGTGAATAAAGAGCACAAAATTAAAAAAAATACAAATCCATTAAAAATGTTTCTCACATTTGGGAAAAAATGTACAAACTTGATATTTTTAACTCATTTTTTTTTAGCACAGAAACAAAAAGCAAAACCAAAAATCAATACCTATATATTAAATTCCCATTCTCAGCAACCTTCTTGTTGGAAAGTCTGCATCCCCGACCCCATTATTTATGGAAATGTGCTTAACTTCTACAAATTTTACATTAAAAAAAAAAAAGTTTACAGCAGTGCATTTTGTAAAAGGTTTGTTTTTTGTTTTTTTTTCTGTTTGTTTTTTTTGTTGGTTTTTTTTTTTTTATGTACAGGCGAGTTTAAAATTCAATGTTGGGGACTATCGTGCCTCTACTTCTTTGGGGTTCCTAGAGGGGGAATAGTCCCTGGACTCTGAGTTTGTGAGTGGAGTAGTCCTGCGTGGGGAGGCAGGTCTGGTGCTGCTCGCTGGTACAAGAGGCGGTGGGGCGCTCAGCGCTGCGGTTGGTGGGTTCCTATTTAAAATCCCATTGTGCATGGCAGTGGATGGACTCAGTCTGGGGTAATGCATCCCGCTTAAATGAGGCATGAAGGATGGCACGTGTGCCAGGTGACTTTCGATAGGGGACGAGTGCAAGTGGTGCATTCTGGCACGCTCAAGTTCTTCCCGTAAGTGCAAGCGCTCTCTTTCCTCCACTTGCCGCAACCGCTCCTGCTCTCGGCGGGCTTCAAGAAGGTTTTCATGGTTATAGTCGTGTGGCTCCCTGTCTCTGTAAGAACGCTCATGGTCATAAAATCCAGAGGTGGTCGGGAACCTATGAATAGGATCCGTCCGGAGCTGAAAGTCCATTCGACGGTGCAGGTCTAAGCTCCGGTAGGCATCTCGCAATGGGTCCCTCATTGGGTCCCAAGAAAATCCAGGGTGTGGCAGCCTCTCTCTTCCTGACAAAGGATTCATGCCTATGAGTGGGGTCATCATTCTGCTGCGGTCCAGCACATTCATGTTGTTCATCTGGTGAACACTGCCCATGGAGATAGGCATTGAGGCAGCCATTGAATGAGGCAATGATAATCCATGCAAAGTAGGTGGTGGGGGATGCTCCACTGATCGGGAGTGCTGTGAAGGTTCAGATCCTACCACTAGTACATCACTGTCTTCCTTCCTCTCCTCTTTGACTTTGATGTCATTCTTAATCTTCTGGAGGTCACTGGGAAGCTCTGTCTTTCTCTCCATTTCCTTGCTCATTAGATTGGTAAGCTTCAAGCTCTCACTTAGTGCAGGTTTGCTGTATGGGGATACAGACTGGATTACTGGCTTTGTGTTGTCCTCAGAGGGTCTCTTATCATGGCTTGGAGTTTCCTTCACCGGGGAACGGCTCTCTTTAATCTTGTGTTCTGCTATGGGTGGCTCTCTCAGCCGGTCAGGGTGCTCTCTCTCTGGTTCTTTGGACCTTTCTCTTTCACCAAGGCTAACCTGCCTGATGGGATCACTGGAGGTTTGGCTGTTGCTGCGAATGAGATTGCTTATCTGATGCGTCACTGGAGCTGATGCCGGTGAAGATCTGTTTGAATGTCTGTTTTTATCCATGAGGTCTCTGTATAAAGACAGAAAATACTTTCTTGTTTGGTACGAACAAGCACACATGAAATGCTGGATATGCAGAACAGAGACTGCTCTGAAAATTATTTGAAAAGCTCTGCTAGCATTAGCTATAGCCGTGGAAATACACTAAAGAAATGCTCTCCCTGCCTTTTAAGAAATGCCCTCTGTCCTACCTACCTTCTGTACAAAAAATGATAAATGTCCACAAATTTGGGGACTAAATTGGGGAATGCATATGAAAGAACAGTACATTCACCTTCAGAGAAGGATCAGCTATCTGAGAAATGTAGGGCAAGGAGAAGTCTAGAGAGCTTACTTTTTAAAAAAAGATGATTTTCGGGTACTTAATATATATATCTCCTGCTGCCAATGATTTTCTTGGCTATAACACTCTCAGTCTGGGCTCCTCTCCTCAGGCAGACTTCAGTTACCGCTGCCTGTGTGTGACATGGATCCACACACACAAAACAGAATGGTTCTGGAAGCTGACGGAAATGTATGCAGGTCTTTCATGAGACAGCCTCATAGCCTGCGAGCAGCCGTTAACATAATGCTTATTTTCCTACAGAGCTGCAGGAGAGTTTGTTATGGTCAGTTTTGGCAGTTAAGCTAGATATTAAGGAAGAAAATCCCTGAACAAGCCATGAAGCTGACTGATTGGCCTTTGTTTCAAGGGGGCCTGCTATGAGGAACAAGGCTTTGATGACAACGTCTACTGTTTAGAATGAGAGGCATGAAAACGGGGTCTGTGTTTCTAACTGCACATCTATCTGTGGGCAAGTAAATTAGTCTCAGCTACTCCCACCTCTTTCAGAGGGGAAAAAATAACGCTCACCCGTTAAAAGCACTTTGCAAGCTCTTAAGTAAGAGATACTTCAAATGCAGAGTACGATAGTGTGATTGAGAGAACTGCATTATGCAGCTGAGAAACCCACTGATGCTCAAGTTCTATGCTGTGTTTCCTTTCGTGAGCCAGAAGACCACAGTGCTGCAAACCAAAAGTGTTTTGGGGAGTTTTGTGAGTATTTATCCCTTACAATTACTTTTAGTAACCCAGAGTTCTCCCTATGATGGGAGTCCTGATCGCTGGTCAAGGACATAGTTTATTAAAATCAGGTCTAAATAGGGATGCTGGGGACAGTTTAAGCTGAATCAATACGTATGTAATAGAGATGTTAACCTCTGTGTGAACACTCTTGAGAGTAAAGTAAGCTAGGTTTACGAATGGATTAAGCTAAAGCCAACAAGGGAACTTCCTATCCAAATGACTATCTGTACAAAGGTGTCATACAATTTAACATTTAAAGGCAGATAATTTTCAGCCTATTACTTTTATGTATTGTTGTTCACAGGCACTGCCTAAATAGTTCGTGTCTAAATAGCTCATTAAAAGCACTCTAGGCAAACTATGAAATCCCTATCACTAGTCAAACACACACATCTAAGTCTTGCAGGCTGTTTCTGCCTACAAAGAAGCACCCTGTTGGAGACGACCAGATTCTGAAATATAAAGGGCTTCTTTACAGCTTCAAAATCATATAGCTGGAAGCTAATGAAGTACCTATAGCCCAGGTGATACGCTTCTGCCATCATTAATACGGGCTTGTCTGCGCTAACATTTTTGAAATCCAGTTCATCAGTGGATACATGCACACGGATCCAGACAGAGGCATTTGCATTTTTACCTCATTATTGTCCAGCTAACACTTGAAATCATCAGCATATCTGTACATTAATGGGAACTGTGACTGTCTGCAAAAGACCCATCACAATACCACCTTCACAGTTTCAGAATATATGACAGTCCTGAAGGAGGCTGCTGAGAACATCCAAGTACACCCTTCAAAACTTAGTGACATGCTCATTTCCTTGGCCTGGTGCTTTTTATCAGCCTGCTAGCAGGGACTGAAGGACTGGCTTACGATATTCGCAGAGAGGACAATTTCTAAAAGGCAAAGAGGTTTGTTTTTGTCACTAATACTTGTGGTTATTTGAGGGAAATGCTAACCTGATGCTTCAAAGAGAAACAGTGTTTCTCTCTGAAGATGCTTTTAATATCAGAACTAAGGGTGAAGGAAAAGTTGGAAAATATACGGAGGAAAAAGAGGGCTAGAAGAAACTGCTCAAAGCACATGCCACTTACCGCTCTTTGTCTCTGTCATCTTTACTCAGCGAAAGATCCCTCTTCTCGGGCTCCCGCTCTCTGTCTCTGTCGTGGTTTGTCACTGAGGAGCTTCGCTCCGAATCTGTTGGCTTGGGCCACTGTGGTGGTGTTGGGAAGGACGGTGGGGTCCGATGGAGTCTATTCCATGGCTCGTGGGGATTATTAAAATTCTGCAGGTTTGGGCCATCTTTGTGAGTAAAAATGTTGTTGTGAGCTAGAACAATGGGGGGAGGAGGAAGCGTTAAAAATAATACAAATCAAGTAATTCCATTTAAATTTTGCACAATGCTAATTACAACCGGAATTGTTCTTTCGAGACTTTAATTTGGAGCTAATGGTGTGGGGGAGCTACTAGCAGGTGGACAGAGATACCTCCAACACTGGTTGAAAGATTCACCAGCTCTTTTTAAGACTACTCACGGAAGAAGCTTTAACTACACATCTGAATAACTCAGTGATGACTAAAAACGCCCAGCTTCTCTTGTCCCCCCCACCCCAGCAAGGGTTCCACCACAAAAACAATACTCTTCCTCAGCTCCCCTCACTGGCAGAAACTTCATCGGTTGTGGGTCGAAGCTAAAACAATCAGCTGCCCGCAGCTGAGCATTCATGGATGTTTATGTTAAAGAAACCAGACTATTTGGTGGTATGTATGTGTGTGTATAAAAACCAGAGCTTGGCTGCAGACTTTTTAGAACAGTCGCTTGATCTTCCCCCATCAATCTTTTACTGATTCCTGTTGCACCATGAGATGCAAAAGCATGCTCCCTTACATGTGGCTCCCAAGCATGCCTTGCCTACAGGTAACATGTTTTTCAAGTAAAATCATTTTAGACAGGCATTTTAAACTTCAGACAATGGTTACAGAGAAAGTCTACACAGTGATTTAGGGCAAGTATCAATAGCTGTTCCACCGTGCATCTTTGCTGCTGAAGGGTGTTACTTTACATGCCCGTAGGGTAGCAGAGCGCAGCGAGTCTCGCAGCTCTAGCACCTCTAGGAACACACAAGGTAACAATCTTCAGCAGTGAAGAGACACAAAGCACGGCTATTGATATGTGTGACGTGCAGAAAAGCTCCCACCGCAGAGACCTGGAAATCTTAGGTGCAGTGTTTTCAGATAGGAGAATGGAGGTTAGGAAACAAACTTCTTTAAAAACTACCACCAGCTGCTGTAAATATTAGCATGTGGCTTTTCTGGAAGGGATGTTTGTCTGCAGTAACCCAGCCAGTACTTACTCAGAGCATGACTGCCTAATCCTCCAAAGGCATTGCTGCCTAAGTTCCCAAGGCCGCTGAAGGTGCTTGACCTGCTAAATGGATCTGGAAAGGCAAACAGGGATTTAGCAGGCATTTAGCCAAGAATGTTGGAGAATGAAACGCACCCCTCCCCTTCTTAATGGTCTGAATCCAAGTAGGATTAGGCCAGACTTTAAGCTGATCCTTCTCATTGCAAGGTTCTTTGCACAGAAAATTCCCAGCATGTTAAAATGTAGAAGGGATTCAGTGCTCGCTCTGCAAACAGGTGCTGTAATAAACTTTCGTATGCCAGTCAGAGGGGAGCTAGAAATTAAGGTCTAACAGCTGAAATTAGGGTGGCTGCTGCTGAACTATAACTCTCTTTCCTTATCAGTAGCAGCAATAGTAGAAGCATTGCAATTGCCTTGAAAGAACCACCTCAGCAGGGTCCTTGGTCAGTGCATTGAGGGAATGCATCGTTTCACTGTTGTTTTTGTATTGTTTGTCAACTTTCTGCCCTCCGCATAATGGTGGGTCAAGAAAGTCCTAAGGTAACTGCTACGGACATCCATCCTGACACCAACTAGACTTGTGGACCTGTTTGTGCTGAAATCTTCTCCCACTACAGCTTATGGTGGAGAAAATGAGATAGTGTATCATTTAGGTGGAGGAAATGATAGTGTAGTCTTAGGTACTATGACAAGGAGATGGGAGGTTTGTATCCTTTGAGGCAGAAGATGAATCTTGGCCTTCCTAGTCAAGCAACCAACTACTTGGCTACTGACATCTGTCTTCCTTCAAAAAGTCCTGCTTTTTTTTTTTTTCTTAGAAGCACTCATCTTCAGAGGAGGTTCCACTCTGAGTAGATATAGCCTGACTCAGGTCTCTGCACTCCAGAGATGGCTATGGGTTAAAATATACCAGTACACTCAGTTTTTTCCCCCCTACCACTCATCAATAAACAACTTCCCATTCTGCTTTTTGACTGTCCTTTCAAAATCTTTAACTTGCCATGTAAGCAATACATGGAGATGAGGCACTCGCTGCTTCCTCACAGACATCCTTATATTGAAAATATCAGAGCAAATAGTGCAAATAACTTGGATTTTTAAGGAAACAGCTATTTGGTTATTTACTTATTTTTAAATAGCTGTTCTTGCTTCTCCACTTTGATAGTAGGCGGCTGAGTGACTCTGTAGAGATAGAGTTAATTTTGACTGAATGTTCAGGAATTGATGTAAATGTGGGTACTTGCAACAGGAAAAAAGTCTACTAGGTCACATGGCATATTCCATTTACTGATTGGATGAGTGTTACTAAAACATTAATCAACAGAGCTTGAACTTTAATTGGCAATGAGCTGCTTGTGAGCTTTTAAAAGGAGGAAATTTGAGAAAATCAGGCTCTACTTACTGCCAATTAGGAAACAGAAGGACAGGCAAAATGTGCAGAACAGCTATTTGCCAGGAACTGGTCACTGATGTTAAATAAAGAACCTAGCCAAGAACTTACATAGGTGGAAAAGGTTATGGGAGGAGCCCATTTTAAGCCATGGTACCTCTGAAATAAATTTCCACCGTTTCCCTGAGCACATTCAGCAGCACAGAAGGACTCTCCAGCTAAGATTTCCGCCCGTGTGCAGCGTCCCACTGGCAACGGACTTGCCCATTCTGCATCACCCTCTTCCCTGGCAGCAGAGAAATCTCCTAATCCTGCTGCCTCCCCTTGGGAGCTGGAGATCAGTGGGCATGCTGGGCAAGGTGGTGTGGGTGGGAGGACTTCCTAGTTAGCCTCCGGTTCCTGAGAGAGTTTAAGCCTTCCCTCTGCTAGAGCTAGAGTGCCTCAGGCAGGACTGAGTCAGAGAGCCAGGAAGGGATGGGAGGTATAAAGGTGAAGGCAGGGTTTACTTACACTTACCTGCCAAGTGGTTAGTAGGCAGGAAACTGCTGTGATGAGGTGAAGGACCAAAGGGGGTGGTGGCTGGATGTGTCGCACCTGTGAGAACAAGGTCCCTTGTTAGCTCAGTGGCAGGTGACTGGTTGCATACACAAAGGTCCTGGCCAGCAAATTCAAGAACGGATGCAAAGGCACAGGACAGATTTAAGCGTAGCACAGGTGGGAGAAAACCCCAAACACCAGCTCAGCGAGCTACAGGTTAGGATTTCTCTGAGCGCTCTTTAAAGGAGTTTGTCAAGTCTAGGAGGCAGGAGACTTTGCACTGAATGTTGCCACTCACCTGTAATAACAGGAAAGTTAATCTCTTTGTCTGACATTATCATTCATTACTCTGTGTTTACATGAAAAAGGGCCACTCTAGGTTACGGGCCCAGACAAAAGGTGCTCTGAAGTGACTGATTAGCATCTCTATGAAAGAGGAGTTAATTACAGGCACACAGGGAATACCAATCATGCCTCTCCCATGAGATTGCCATCTACACTCTCACATCTGTTTCTGCATCCACAGACTCCCTCACATTTTTTTTACTTCTTTCCTTGACACTGCTCATTGCCGTGGTGCCATGCGACCTTGTGGGAAAGGAACATTACTGCTTAGCACACTGAATTGTATCAGGTTGAGACAAGCGGAAAGAACAGGCTGAAACAAGCTATTCTGTCCTGTATTTCAGGGTCGACCAGGTTCATGCTCCAATGGGCTTCAGCAGGGAAAACCAGAGCAGAACACAAGCATCTTGCTTCCTCTGAGACTAGACTTACACCAGACTGAATGGGCCTGCAACCACATCATAGGAAGAGCAGGGATAACATAGGATTCGGAGGAAGACTGACTCACATATATCTTGCAGATGAGAGTGTGGTTGAGGAATCTGGCTGTGGTTGGGCCTGGCATAGCACACTAAGATCAGTACAGACGTTTTCAGGATGCACCTGAAGTCCAGTTTTGAAGATCTGTGTTTTGGATATATGCACCAAAATGTTTGTGTGGCTCCAGTCTTACACGGACTAGACTGGCCCTCTGCAAATGTCTGGAATGCAAATGTCCTTTTGCGGCCCTCTCCACGCTAATGTTTCTGCTGCTGCAGACAAAGGAGAATTAACAACAACCGTAACTTTCAGAGGCTGTCTGGAGGTAACTGCAACTTCTGCTTCCCTTGCAGAAAGCGAGATCTGCCACACACATGCATTAAACAAAACGTCCCATTTTGTTAGAAACTAGTAATACCAGGCAACGACAGAGGCAGCACTTTCCTGAGGACAGGCTAAGTCATGCGCAAAATAGACCAGCACCTAAATAAAGCTTCTGGATGTCACTTTTCAGTGCTCTTCTCCTCTCATGCTTTAAAAATGTTTTTTGCTGGTAAAAAGTTAACCTCCCTTACAGCTGGGAAGAATACGAGGTAGGCCCTGGCAAAGAGCAGCAGCCATGCCGGGCATGAACAAGGGCTGGCTTAACCAAGCAGGGTTTTCCCAAGTGATAACTTTTTATTCTAGTATAAGAGGATTATCGCTCTTTTCCTCCCCACCTGGTGCTCAAGCTCTCCTGTCGCCTTCCCCACAGGGATTTCTGCCTCTCCCAGTTTGTGGCCCACTGGAACACCTCCCAGCCGTGGCGAGTTCCTGCCCCCAGCTCCAGTCCCACTCGCTGTTCCCGCTTGTCTTGCGGGAGCTTCTGGCCCCTCAGCTGGGCTCACGGCAGAGGCAGCTGCTTCTGCAGCCACGATTTGCAAGGGAAAATCCACACGTGGCTCTGTACGCAAGGCTAAATCATCAGCCCTTAGTACAAATAGGACATCTGAAAGATGTAGCGCTATGAAAGGTCACAGTGAAAACGGAGGGAACAGAGGGAAGAAATTAATGTACGCAGGAGGAGATGCCGCCCAAACACAGCTCGCTCGCTCCCTCCTCTTTGCGATGCGCGGGATTCTGCCCAAGCCAGGGTTGTACGGAGAGGCTGGTCAGCACTGGCCTGGCCCTGCCTCGGAGACAGGGCCCAATAACAGATGGTCGCTGTATAATGTCCTCATGTGTCCAGAACATGAGCAGACCATAAAGCCCGAGAGGCAGAGAGCTGCGAGTCCCTCACCAACTTGGGCACCACAAACCTAAGCAGCCAGAAAATGAGTTAAGGAAACTTAAGAGCAACCACAGCAACGAAACCTCAAGTTATCTATAAACATTCTGACTGCTCCAATGCTTCAAGACAGATGGAGACTGTCATCTTTCTAATCCTTTAAGATTTCAGAAGGTGTATAATGGATGGGAGATTTCTTCAAAGGAGACGGCTTACAAACTCAACTACACAGGCTGATAATAAAAAATCCTCCAGAGAAAGCCAGGAGCAGCATTGCAGGCTGTCAGGTAGTTATTAAATATAGCGTCTGCCAGGCAGCTCAACATCCGTCCTGAAGACAGGTGGCCCTAAGATAACTTATGTCTCCCACAGTAACTAGGCAATGCAGCAGAACCAATGATTCACATCAACTACACGCTTGTTCGATAAGGTGAAAAGAATGCCTCAGATATTGCAGAGTAAAAGATTTATTCATCTGTATGTTACTGCTGCAATGTTTGTTCACTTTGACAGCACTCTACCTAGATTTACGGTGTGATGGCTCTCGTGATTAATATACTCACAGATTAGTTGCTATAAGGTTATCTATCTCCAGTGAAGGCAAAGCTTTCTATTAATTT